AGGCTAGCACTCTACCACTTGAGCCACAGCGCCACTTCTGGCTTTTTTCTTTTTGCTTATGTGGTGCTGAGGAATCGAACCCAGGGCCTCATGCATGCGAGGCAAGCACTCTACCACTGAGCCACCTTCCTAGTCCAACCCAGAAGCTTTATACTCATAACTTCATTTATGGGAATTGTAACCCCTTGGTACAACTACATGACCATCATCTCATGAACAAAAGCCTAAAAATATTTTTTCATGACAGGAAGCAAGTGCTAAAAAAAGAAAAAGAAACAATGAGAGCCAAAGTCAAAGGTACACAGGAGCATGCTCACGGTGGCTAAGGCTGGTACAATTAAAGAGCATCATAGTGTTACTATTCGATACCATGTAAACGAGTGCAAAGTAAATACATGAATGCAAAGAAATATAAATACAGAAGAGACAAATCCCGTTAAAGCTTTTATCCCCTGTAAAAATCATTTATGTAGGTCCTTTTCTACCCCTTAAGTGTAGGCTGGACATACACTTCTTTTCAAAGTATGAGATGGCAAGAAAACAGAATACCACACTGGATTTTCTGTGAGGTTTCATAGTAATACTGCTTCCATAAAAATGACATTTTTGAGTTCAGGGTCCAAATAAACCACAGAGGGGCGAGAAAACTGTATAAGAAGCAAGGTATGCTGGGATAGGGTTAGGTGTCAGCCTCACCTTCTGCTCTTCCTCCAGACGAAGCTGTTCTTCCTCCTTCTTCCACTCTGCCTCACGCTGGGACTCCAAGCGTTTCCGCTCCTCACGTTCAGCCTCCTCTGCCTGGAGAGAGGTCTTCATAGTGGAACATTCCCCAACCCCAGATAGTTTGCCCACCTCCCAGAGAGACCAGGCATAGCAATGCCTGGGCTAGGGCATGGACTAAGGTTGCAAGAGACAGGAGCCCTGCAAGCACCAACCCACAGTTCAGTATAGAGGGGAGTCCCAAGGGCAGAGTTTCAAGAACAGAAAAAGGAGGGCAATCCCAGACCTCCCATAGTTATGCCCTGTCCCTTTTTCTTGCCTCACGCTGAGCTTTTCGAGCCTGTTTTTCTTCTAGCTTGCGTAGTTTTTTGGTTCCAATTTTCCCTGTCAGGTGAGTTTCCGCTGGCTTCTCAATGCCTTCTTCCTCTTGGTCTGAGTATGGTCAGAGAGACAGTTCAGGTTCTAGCCAGAGAGAATCTGTCCCATCCCTGTCCCTCATACAAGGAAAGCCCCTTGTACTCACCTCTGTCCTTCAGAGGAATCTACTGTAAATCACATAGGTGTACATATGTGTGAGTATATGTGAGTACATGTGTGTGTGGGGCGGGGTTGGGAGCTGCAAGGGTCTGGGGACAGATGAGGCTTTATAGATACAGTATAGTTCTAAGAGCGAGGTGCTGGTATTCAACTGTCTAAAGATCATAGCTAGGGGCTATCTGGGCTTCTAAAAGTCCTTGGTCTAGCCGGGCGCTGGTGGCTCACGCCTGTAATCCTAGCTACTCAGGAGGCTGAGATCTGAGGATCGCAGTTCAAAGCCAGCCCGGGCAGGAAAGAC